CCGTCGGGGAGCGCGGGGCCGGGGCCCAGGGGATCCCGGGCCACGGAGAGCGGGAAGAGGATGGACTGCCCTGCCCTCCCCCCCGGATGGAAGAAGGAGGAAGTGATCCGAAAATCTGGGCTAAGTGCTGGCAAGAGCGATGTCTACTACTTCAGGTACCTCCCTGTGGGGGAGGGGGTGGCGGGGTCAGGGGTCAAGAGCGGGCCTGGACAGGGTATGCCAGGATGAGAGCTGGGGCCCTAGGGGCATGTGGCAAGGACAAGCTGGTTTGGTGGCAGAACTCTTGGGTGAGAGTTGACCCCAGTGCGGTGGGAGGCAGTGTCAAAAGGTGAGGGCCCGCAGTAGTGAATCTTGTGTGGAAGACGTCAGGGAATATGGTTGGCGAATAAAGGGTTACCCTGGCAGGATGGTTAGTCCACTGAAGGGTTAAAAGGAGGTGTAATTCATCGAAACTATAAAACCCAGTCACTGCTGGCTCCTGTCCCAGCCTGTCCCAGATTCATCATCGCAAGTGTTTAATCATGCACATGTGGAAGAATTAGCTATCTCCAGTAACACGGTTTCATTTACTTCATCCAAGAAAGTTTTGTATAAAGCAGCTATTTGGAATGCCTGAAGTTGTTTTGGAACTTCCTTGGTTTTGCAGAATATACTCTTTTGAAACTGACACACTGTACTAAGTTTTTAGATTCCTAGACCAAAATTTCCTCCCCAGGGAACATTTGTCACTATCTGGAGACATTTTCGGTTCTCACACCTGGGGAGGGTGTGATACTGGCATCTAGTGGGTAGAGGCCAGAGATGCTGCTACATATTCGATAATACGAAGAAGCTCCCACAACAAAAAATGATCTGGCCCAAAATGTCACCTGTACTGAGGTTGAGACATCCTGTTTTAAATGATTCAGGGTTTTTCACCTTAATGTGATCTTGCACTGCCGTGGTCATGCCACTCATGTCTTTAGTTTGTGTGACCCAGTAAGCTCAAGAAAGTGCCTATGGCAGTTGACATCCGTGGACTTAATACACATTTACTAAATTTTTTAATAAGCCATCCTATTGATAGAAGATAATATAAACTTGTATTCAGTAGTTTGGAGATTCGTGTTTGTGGAGTGATTGAAGCATTTTTCAGGGTATGTATATGTATATGGCTATTGGAGACAATTGTCATTTAGCTATTGTAATAATGTTATGAAGGATTTCCTGTCCTCTACAAGAAGTTCTGGGAAAATGTGTCTGCACACATACCATGCTTATGAACTGAAAATACTTTTAACTAGATTGAAAAGGTTAAAGAAATGTACATACACATGTATACACACATATGCACACACAAGAATGTGATCACTGCTTGTGCAGCATGTAAATACGAACACATTCCTGATGGTTGCTATATATGGATGAGTAGTTGTAGTGAGTTCGCTTCACCTCAGCTAAAAAACAAAATAAGAGTGATGTTTCATTAGAACTTAGTTTTCCACTTGATCTGGACCCTCATCTTGAAACCTCATATGATAAAATGGAGGACTTATTTTAAATATATGAAGGTGATATTCGCCTGTGGTCCCAGTTACTCATGGGACTGGGGCTAGAGAATCTCTTGAGTCCCCGAGTTCGAGGCTGCCTATGATTGTGCCTGGGCGATAGAGTGAAACCCCATCTCTTTAAAGAAAAAAAAGAAAAAAGAAAAAATGTGATAGTCTTGGTTTGTATTTCCTCGTCATTAAATATTTGATTTAATGGTAAGAAAGTTATTGTGAGCACTTTCACAGGTCCTCCCTCAGGGTGTGGGGCCAGGATTTGGTAGCTGGTGCTAAGAGAAAACCTTTGATGGCGTCCTTGCCCTGGGACTGTGCCAGTGGCAGCTGTCATTCAATGGGACAATTTCTTCTGATTAAAAAAAAAGTTATTGTGGTTAAAAAAAGATTAGTCCTCTCAAGTTCATTAGTTTCATTTAGTGCTGTTCATAATTGTCCATTTTCTAGTATTCTTTCATTAACAGAGCATTCTGTTTTCTTTGTAAGCAGGCAGTCTTCATAACCTTCTGTGAACTATGTGCTGATGTCTTGTAGGCAATTATATTTGACAAAATTATTCTGTGTCTGTGATTGAACTCCTTGAGGAATAGATGACTAGTTTGTTCGCAGTAGAACATCTTAAACTTTGAATTTTACTCTTTATGGTAGTTCTCCTGGGATATGGTTTGTTTGGCTTGGGGATGATGTATTTGTTCAGACTAACTTTGGGTATTGCAAAGCTTTTTGTTTGTTGGTTTTTCTTGTAGTTGGAAAAGTTATTTCAAGAAGTCAAGATTGTTGTAGTACTCATTTGGATTTGTGGCCACTTAACATTTTCTTGAATGTGTTGTAAATTTTCTGATGTTAAATTTATTTTATTTTTTTTGAGATGGAGTCTCATTCTATCGCCCAGGCTGGAGTGCAGTGGCGCGATCTTGGTTCATTGCAACCTCCGCCTCTCGGGTTCAAGTGATTCTTCTGTGTCAGCCTCCCAAGTAGCTGGAACTACAGGTGCCTGCCACCATGCCCGGCTAATTTTTGTATTTTTAGTAGAGACAGGGTTTCTCAGTATTGGTCAGGCTGGTGTTGAACTCCTGACTTTGTGATCCACCCACCTCAGCCTCCCAAAGTGCTGGGATTACAGGCGTGAGCCACCAGGCCTGGCCATTAAATTTTTAAATACAAACTTAGTAAGTTTTTTTTTTTTTCTTTATTTGAGGCGTAGTCTTGCTCTGTCACCCAGGCTGGAGTGCAGTAGTGTGATCTCAGCTCACTACAAGCTCTGCTTCCCAGGTTTGCCATTCTCCTGCCTCAGCCTTCTGAGTAGGTGGGCGCCCGCCACCACACCCAGCTAATTTTTTGTATTTTTTAGTAGAAACGGGGTTTCACCGTGTTAACCAGGATGGTCTCGATCTCCTGACCTCGTGATCTGCCCACCCGGGCCTCCCAAAGTGCTGGGATTACAGGCATGAGCCATTGAGCCCCCCCTCCCCCGATATGATCAATTTAAAACAAACTTTCTAAACAAATTCATCTTAAGACAAGTCGCAAGCCAGTGTAGTGGTAGTTACTCTCTATGGTTTGCCTTTTACTTGTTTATGTAAAATGGAAAGGACACATTGAACAGATTTATGCCAAACCTGTTTCGTTCAGGGCCTAAAGGAGCATTGTCTGCTGTTTATTTACTGTCTACAGAGGTTCAGTTACTTTGCAGGATTGTTAACAACCAGTCTTGTTTTTCTTCTGAAAGGTTACATTCTGAACCAGTAAGGTGTATGTATGTAGCATAACATGATTGTGATACAGTAGTTAATTTGACTTGTGACTGTAGCTTTCTGTGATGAATGATGGCGGTCACTTATTGTAAAGAAAGACAAATTATTTTTCAGCTTACAGTGTCACTGCTTTACATATTAGTGTCCCCACGTATACTCCACCCTTTAGAAATTCCATTAGTTCACCGAACACCCACTATCTGCTAAAAGTGGTTTAAGAGTTAATTCTCCTGTTGGTAATGTGAACACCTGCACCCAGTTGTTCACACAGATTCTAATAATACTAACCCCTGAATTAGCCTGCCCCTGGGGAGATTAATTTAAACAAATCTGTGCCTGTTAATGTAGGGTGTGGCAGGCACTTATTAATTGGACTGAAATTAAGCTCATCGAGAAAGCCTCAAATTTTGGTAGTATGTTTTTTGGCTGCTTTTTTGAAACTGCCAAGTTCTAATAGGAAAGAGTGCCCCTAGTTACCAGTTAAGCAATGTAATTATACCTTCTGTCAGGATTACTGATAGTGTTGTGGCGGTTCATATATTATCATACAGTGTGTTTGTTTAAAAGAATGTCGTTTGACTGGATCCATTGGTGTATTTTCTGAAAAAGTTTGTTGCCATCATTTGAAACCATTATTTGAACAGTAATTTTCTAACTTGTCTTCTTGACTCCTGTCATTTCTAGTTGCTTGCATAACACTTGCTGATTGATATTTTTGAAATATTTTCTTCCTCACATAGTCTTTGTTTAGTAGCCCTCTCCTGCCCTTTTTAAAAAATCAAGTCTAGGCTGGGCGCCGTGGCTCATGCCTGTAATCCCAGCACTTTGGGAGGCTGAGGCGGGTGGATCACGAGGTCAGGAGATCGAGACCATTCTGGCTAACACGGTGAAACCCTGTCTCTACTAAAAATACAAAAAAATATAGCCAGGCGTGGTGGTGGACGCCTGTAGTCTCAGCTGCTTGGGAGGCTGAGGCAGGAGATAGGCGTGTTGTCCCAGCTACCTGGGAGGTGGAGCTTGCAGGAAGCCGAGATCACGCCACTGCATTGCAGCCTGGGCAACAGAGCGAAACACAGTCTCAAAAATGTGTGTGTGTGTGTGTGTGTGTGTGTGTGTGTGTGTGCGCGCGCGTGCACCATTTGTTGCTAAAGACTAGTATGATGCTTCAAGAGCATGAATTCTCAATCACTGAGGTTCAACCATGGTCCTCCCCTCATCTTGGTTTGCCTTTAAAAACAAACAAAAAAAAAACAAATGGACCCTCCATGTAGGCTCTGTAGAAAACTGACTGAGTGGACCCAGGTAAGGAATGTGACCATTGTCACAGTTCTTACATATTTGAATTAGTCTTCTTGGCTTTCAATAAAAAGCCTTTTCTGATATTGTCCTCTTTCTCATTATTCCTATGTAGTTAAACTTGGTGTCCCTTGTATAACTTTCATATTCATTTACTTAGAACTTGTGGCTTTCTCACATAGCTGTTTTTCCCCTCGACACAATGCTGAACACACAGGTGCTAAATAAGGATTTATCAATTGATATTCCACCTAGCATTTTGTAAAACAATCCTTAAAATGACTTCGTCATTTTTGCTTTATTTCTGTTCCTGTGGTGGTGTGTTGGGATAAAATTGGTTGAGATATTTTATTATTAAGGCTACATATTTTGTAGTTTCTGGTTTTCATCATCAATGTGAGGGTACTGCAGAAAGCCTTTCTCTGGGATTTTGAATATTAGAGATACAGTGAAAATGGAAAATAGGATGCTCATAGTGCACAGACACAAGTGAGAAATTGGCATTTGAATTTCATTGACTGTGTAACATAGGGTAAAGTAGTGTAGGGTCTTCTGTGCCTTAAT